TTCCCCCCTCCCCTCACTACCTCGTGTTGTTCACAATGCAAGCAATGCAAGCCTTGTGTTCCCACGCAACCTGGATTAATTGCTTTTTGGGGGGTGACATTTCTCTGCAGACCACCAGTGGTCCCCCGGCCCATTGGTTGGCGACCACTGTTCTAGTCCAACCCCCTTCTCAAGATATTGGCTGTCTGACCTCTTCTTAAAAACCTCCAGCGATGGAGCACCCATAATTTCTGAAGACAAGCCGGTCCACTGATTCATGAACAGAATAGCAGAGTTGGAAGGGACCTTGGAGGTCTTCTAGTCTAACCCCAAGCTTACGCAGGAGATTCTACACCATTTCAGACCAATGGCTGACCAGTCTTTTCCGGAGCAGTCACAACTTCTGGAGGCAGGTCCATTTTTAATAGACAATGAGATCAACCACAGAGGATCAAATTCATAGAAATGTCATTCTTTGGACGGAATTACTGATACCTCTGCGTTACTGGACAGAATCACTTAGCTGAGCCAGGCTGATCTTAAATATATTTCCACAGGGCCAAATCTGGTTGGGAGTTGGATAGAAAACCAGCAAAGAAATTCCAAAGTTGGGGGAGAAAAGCATCTCAAAAAAAGCAAATCATGTCTGGAGCTGCAGCTAAGAAAACAGCCCAATTGTGTCGCTGAATTATTGTGCTCAACACAAGGGCACCTTCACTGTGAATCTCTGTGGGACAAGTTTCTAGTCCATGAGAAAAGCTCCCCCTTCAAATGGGCATTTGCGTTTGGAAAAAAAAAATTGCTGCATTTCAAACATTCCCCGTCTAGGGGCCAAATGCAACTTGAAATGTTTAGAGAAAAGCAAATTATTCATTTTAAGTCAGCTTGCCCGGAAAGACGAGGTCAGCAAATTTTTAAACATCTGCGAGGTTATTTACCCTCATTTCCATAATGAAGAAAGGATGAATATTCAGTTCAATAATTCCAGATGATCTATTGTGTGGGGGGAGGGGAGAGAGAGAGAGAAAGAAATGTGAGTTGAATGTGAAGCTTTTGCAAACAGGGCTGGCCATGGAGCCGCCTGTTCCAGGCTGGGCTTCCCAAGATCATGAAGCCGACTCCTCGTTCCGATAAAACCCCTTTTATTTAGGTTAAAGGGAATTCCTCTCCAGCAAAGTCCCGGCAAAGAGTCTTTCATGAGATTTCACGACGACAGACCTTTATCAGACTTGGAGAGTTGCCAAGCTAATAGCTTTCAAACGCCACACTGTAGCAGCAATTACTTGGCAAGAAGTCAGGAACAGATCTTCACCCTAATGAATTGAATTAATTGCCTCCTGCAAACACCCTCCCCTTTCGCTCCTCTTTATTCTCTATGGGAGGGGCCATTCACCATCCACCTGTGCCTTTACTCCTGAGGAGACCCTTGTTCCTTAGCTGTTCTCTTCTCCTGGCAGCTCTGCGCATGAGCACACTGGGAACAGGCTCCAGCTGTTCTTCTGCCCCACTGATCTCCGACTCCGAAGGCAGCTGACAACTGTCGGACGGCCCTGGCCCTCTCTCTGCCTCATTCATCAGAGCCTTTCCCAGACTCCAGGACTGGCCCATGTTCCTCCCCAACCTCCGCACTTGGCTGCTGGTGGGTCACAACACAGCCCAAGTATATTTCTATGGCCATTTTATAGTTGCCAACAGAAAGGGAGGGGGGGGAAAGGGTTTGAAAGAGCAGTGTGGCAGCTTGGAAATCAAAAGTGCATTCCATGCATAGTTTCTCAAAGATAGTAACTAGGTGACCAAAGTTTCAGCCTGCAAAATTCTAACTGGAGAGCATGATTGATGACTCTGGGCTATGGAGGTGTCCCATTGGAGAATATGAATTATGATACACCCAGGGGATGGAGGGGAAAACCAGGGTCAAGGGTGACAGTGAATGATGTGTCTCAGAGTCGGCTACACCCAGGCAGTGCCAGTCATGTTAACTCCCAATAAATCCTTTTGAAGTTTTGGAAGTTTGGCTCGAGACTCGTGATTGAATTGGGGGGTAACTGCCGGAACCCTGACAGTTACTTTCTAAAGGACAATTCTGAAGGCCAACAGGCCACCAGATCTCCGATCACCGCAGGAGTTATTATGGATGAGTCAGAAACCAAGACGATAGCAGCCGAGCAAAAATGTGATGACCCTGCCAATTGATGGAGTAGGGAAGAAAGGTAAGTAGAGGAGGGATATCAAACAGAGGAGCCCTCTACTCCCAGGGAGCATCTCCTGCCCTGGACGGCTGCTGGTCCATGCTATGGTCCTTCTCATCACTTTAGAGCAGGGGTGTCAAACTTGATGTCATTGAGGGTCGCATCAGGGTTGTGTTTGACCTTGGGGAAGGGGCGGCAGGATGGTCATGGGCAGGGTGGCCAGCTCAACGTCACTCATGTCAGGGGCACCTGTGGTGGCCAAGGACTTCCCTGAGACCCTCCCTCCGTCTCATTATAATCCTCCTTCCTTCCTTCCTTCCTTCCTTCCTTCCTTCCTTCCTTCCTTCCTTCCTTCCTTCCTTCCTTCCTTCCCTCCTCCTCCTCCTCTCACCTCATTCCCTTCTAGCATTGACGATGTTCATGAAACGTCTGCAAGAAAACCACCAAGCTCAGAGAGCACCAAGGACCCCACATTCCTTCCTTCCTTCCTTCCTTCCTTCCT